GCCCTCCGCAGCGTGTCCAGCGGCAGCCGAGGACAGCCCCCGCCGCTCTCCCGAGATGAGTTTCTCCAGCCCCGCCTGAGCCGTGCCTGTCCAGCAACGGGTCCCTGCCCTCAGGGCCCAGCCGTGGGGACCCAAACGGCACCCCGGCTGTGAGGCTGGCTGGTCATGGGCAGAAAGAAAGCAGGCGAGAGAAAGATGAGGTCTCCTCCCCCTCTTAACAACCAGCAGTAAAATCGCTGGCCTCTGTCCTCGTCCCGTCCGCGGAGCCAGAGGAAGAATCCCAAAGGCTCCACACATGCTTGGGTTCCTAGAAGGATGGGGTCCCGAAGGTGAATAAAGCCACGGTCAGGTGGAGAGGACGGGGCTTGTGACCTCTGGGCCATGGGCTCGGAAACTGTACCGCCCCATGCTGAGCGGACCCGGCACTGCCCTCTCCTGCTGAGGCCCCGGAAGCGTGGCCGCCCCGTCCTGTCCCCTCCGCTCCCACGGCTCGAAGCCTCGTGTGTGCCCCATTCCTCCCCGGCGCCCTTTCCTCTTGGATGTGGGCCCTGCGGGGCGGAGATTCGCCAGCCTGGTTTGTTGCTCTGTTTCAGGGCTCAGCGCAGAGCCTGGCCCACAGGAGACAGTCAGGGAGCAGGTGTGGAGCTGATGAACTCTGCACTAAGGGAAGACCTCCCGGACCCCTGCCCTTGGGCCAGAGGTCATCGGGCTGTAGCCACAGGGGCACAGCGAGGCTTCCCGGGGGCGGAGGGCACACAGGGCACATGCGAGGGGGCTGTGTGACAGGGACGCTCACACTCACATCGAGTGCAGACTGTCTGTCTTGATCCGCTAAAATCCAGAATGGATCATGGGTGCAGAAGAGGAGAAAGAAAGCGCTGATGGTTTGCACTGCACTCTTTCAGCGGAAGGGGCGTCCAGCTGGTGGCCAGCGGGCAGGGATTCACACGATGCCCGGGATACCATGTGGGAAGATGGGAATCGGCAGGGACTCGGCCCAGACTTAGCAAGACACGAGTCCTCACCGCAAGGCTGGCCAGCGTCCAGTACACCACGGGTGGACGAGGCCAGGAGGGTGAGGTGGGCTTCGCAGCTGGACCCTGGTGCCAGCCATGCCGTGAATGTGCTTGACATCTTCGATGTAGCGGGAGACGGACCCTGCACCTTCTGGTGTGGGCGATGTCCCTTGAGTGCTAATCGACACAAACTCCACCTTTCTGACCCAAGCTGCTGGGATCACCAGCCTTGCTGGGCACAGGACCACACACGCCTGCACTACACGCTGCTCTGCCTGGACCCTGTGTCCTGCGGTGGGCGGGTCGCCGGTCATCCTTGGGCACAGAATGAACGTTGTTGTCCTCAACATGTTTTTACGGGATGAGATAATAGATAAAAGCTATACTCCACCTATAATAAGACATGCTTGAAATTTCGCAAGAGGCAAAAATGTGACCCTTAACGGTTCATGTGCACCGGTGAAGACATTCTAACTACCCTCCAGCAGCTGCACAGAAACTGCTACAACAGGCCCTCAGTGTGGTGACACTCGTGCTCGGTTCTGTTTGGCAGTTGACGAGTTGATTTGCTCTAGGGACAACCTCTCATTCCCGCCTTCCTGTATAAAGCTCTTCCTTGCTGTTTTAATGTGGTATACACTACAGCCTCACAAACCTTCCTCTATAATCTGCGATGTCCTAACTGAAAATTCTGACGTGGTGTTAAAAAAGAAAAGAAAAGGAAAGAGTACGACTATGCAGGGCCCTGAGGCCTCGAGGGGCCGCTAACCCTGATAGGTCATCTTCACTGGATAGATGAGGAAAGCCCCTGTGTATGTCCCGGAGGACCATGGAGGCGTGACCTTGAATAGTGCATCTAGTCCCTCACCCGTTTCTCTCTGGCTCTGTCCCCTGCTCTGATTCCTGGCCACCATGAGCCAAGCATCTCTGCTCCGCCTTGCCTGTCCACCATAACGTTCCTGCCTTGGAGCCCGATGACCGTGGACTGAACCTCCTGAAACCTTGAATTGAACTGAACTGCTCCCTTTAGAGTTGTGGGTGCTGGGTATCGTGTCTCGGTGATGTGGACTAATGCCCACAGGAACCCCTCCCACGGCAGCTCTTGTCCAGGACACCCCTGGCCCAGCCAGGTGTCTGTGAGGCCAGTCCTCAGTTAACCCCACTCACAGGCTTCAGGATTGGCCTCTGAGAGTCACTTTGAAGTCTCCACCTTACCTTACAGTGGAAGCGGTAGCTGGAGATGCCTGAGTGATGTGTCCTGTGTGATGGAGGCTGCTGCTAAGCCTGGCAGGTCCTCTGACGGACGGACGGTGCAGACTTCTCTGTCGGGAGCATCATCAGGCCTTTCAGAGCAGGCTTTCTCCTATGGATTCTCTTTATCTTTCTTCATCTGAAAATGTGT